CAGATGTAAGTTCACTAGTAAATGATGAACCCAAATCACACTGAAGCTGATCTAGAAAACATCTGTATTAAAACTTGAATTACACACTTGGAGCTTAAATTCTGCATAGGAATGGCTTCTGGATATTTGGAAGCAACACAAACTTGAAGTAATTAGCTATTCATTTTTATGTGAACTTGGAATCAAAGGTCCTACTGCACCAATATTTAATCTTTTATACACTTCTGATATAATGGGCACGATCTTCATTGAGGCTTTCTTTTTACCCTTATTGTGATTTACATGCTGACAAATATCGTACGTCCTCACAAATTCTTCAATTTCCTGGTAATAATTAGGCCAGAAATAGTGTGTCAAAACTCCATCCTTGGTTTTTGTTATCCCTAAATGACCAGAGATTTCCCCGTGATATAACTTCAAGATCCCTTTCGTAAAAACAAGAGGCACACAGAGCTGAAACTTATCTTCCCCTTTCTTAGAACCTCCCATTCTGATTAGCCTCCCCTTTACAATTCTAAATTCTTCTTTCCTTTCACTTTCCCCTTTCCTACAGAAGGCTGATAAACTAGCACATGCCTTTTGTGCTTCTGTGATTTCTGCTGGTGAAATATCTGCAAGGATAGACCTTTCTTCTGAACTGATGACTGGAATTTCAATGGACTCCTCCGTATTACTTGTTAACTTCCCTTCTTCCAAAATCTTATTATTCACAACACTTTCACATCCTATCTCTTCTTTATCGTTCGATCTGGAGTCTAAGTCTTCCGCGCCTGCTCTGTCTAAACTCCTGTGCGTATGCACCTGACTACGAGTTTCCACAACGTTTAAGAGAATCGATCATTCCCTAATTTCATCTATCAACTGCATAGTTTCCCCTTACAAGGCACTAGTATTAATCGAAGTGCTATTACCTAGACCTATTCCAGCTCCAAAATCTCTTAGATATTCTCTCCCTACCCCATTAATTACTGCTTTATTGAAATACAGCTCAAAACATTTCCCTAAACTCTCCGTTCCTAAATTATTCACAAGATTAGCCTTATTTTACTAGCGATGGACAGTTAGGTCGGATGTGCCCATCCTTTCCACATTGGTAACACCTTATTTTCCACTGATTCTCGAAATCTGCTTCCTTGAAAGCCTGCTCTTTTTTAAATGCCCCTGCTTTTCTATGCTCCTCTTTACATACTGCTCTCTAGCTTTCTCAAACAGTTTCTTGAACCCCGCCGTTGCTCTAACCTTCTCGTGTCTATTTCAAAGCCTCATACCTCTCCCATTTCTCTGCTAAAGTAGAAGCTATTTTAAATTCTTCCCAATTATCTAGTGCTCTCTTATTTCTAGAGGGACTCGCCGCTTAATTTGCTCGGTGAGTTTTAAGTTCCTTAAGACTCAAAATCCTCAAATCCAACCAGTTCTCTAAATAAACTCTCAATTTATACACTAAATCCACTCACAACATCCCATTCTTTCTACAATGCTCTTCAAATTTTGTTTTTAGAGCCAAAGAACTAAGCTAGAATCTATGCATAAGTAATTTCTTAACATGCTGATAATCATCCCCTAAATCTGCTGGTTCTTTTACTATTAACTGAGTTAACATCGTGAAGTAATAAAAGATTTAACTGCTAGACCTAATTCATCTCATTAACATTCTCTTTTTGAGCCTGTTTCTCAAACAGCATAAAGAACACTGAAATATCTATATTACTCAGTTCAAAATGCAGTACTAGATCTTTCAAATTAACTCTTTTTTTTCTAGGTTATTCAACTGTCAAAACCGTGGAAGCTAAGCTATTAGTCTCAACCACGTTCATCATTTTTAACTTCTCCAGTTCGAAAACTCGCTCACATTCCCATTCTGCTCTCTCTTATTCATGTTCCCGTTCTGCTCTCTCTTGTTCCACCATTTTTTCTAACCTTTCTGCTCAGCCACAGCCCAAATTCTTGCAGCGTATTCTTTTGCCGCTTCCTCCTCATTGTCTTCGGCATTCAGCATAGCCTGCCTAGTTTTTCTTATTTTATTTGCCTGAGATTCTAACAGCAGAGCTTTAGTAAATTTCCTCATAAACTCACAGATTATGGAAAAAATAAAGCTAAGAAAAGTAGCCTACAACAAAATACAAAAACAAAAAAAGGTCTATTTCTCTAAAACTGAGTCATTTTCTAATAATTCTGAACCTTAATTACCTTAAAACACTTAATGACCTCTAAATATTCAATATATACATACATACAAAACATAAATCAGAAATGCTAATTACCATGCAAATTTTTCCTGCACTATCTCAACTATAAAAATTTTTCCTATAATACTGGACTGATTTAAAAAAATTAATTTTTTCCAAAGCATACCGTTACATTACTTCCAGCAAGTCAAACTATTACTGGAACAATAGAACAGTTAAATTTCAAAAAGCAAAGATTAAACACAAGAAAACTTTTAATCCCCGATAACAGTTATACACAAAATGAACCTAGTCTCGAATAAATGGCACAACTTCTCTAAAATCACAAAAATGGCACACACCAATTTTAAGATGCCTTTGATGGCTCTACTGGCTCCCACTTGGGTACACTTAACTCTCCTGGGAAAATTCCACTGCTTTGCGGCATTAGATCGCACTTTCTTCGGTGTTCCCTTCTGACACACGGTCACTTTCTGAAGAGGCTTCATCACGCGAACTGTCCTTACATGCAAAATTAGATCATTCTTGTGCAGAGGAGAGAGTCTCTTGACTACTCACATAAAGTTCTTTACAAACACTGCCTTTTCTGGAATTTCCATTCAATAATCAGGAACACCCACACAACAAGATGTATGGAAAGCAAAGCACGATGTTAGCTGAAGTCCACAGGTGAGAAGTTTGTCCCTAAATTTACTTTCAGGAACAATCCCTAAATGCTGCCACCATTTATATTACTGCTGTGGTGTAGTGGCCAAAACAGCTACACAAAATCCTGATTAAAATACAGGGTTGAAATGAACTTCTAGTTCCAGTTCTAACAATAACATGAATTGCAATAAAATAAAAACATCAACAGTTGTGATTCATGATGGTGTGGGTCTTGGATACATCATTCCCATAATTTCAGAAATTTGTTAACATGAAAAATATGCTATCACTATTAACATTATACATAAGGAGTGATAGTTCTAAGACAACCAAAATGCCCATAGCTTCAACAGGAAAGTCCTGGCTTTTCTCAGAAAACCACCTTACTTCCTTGCTGCCAAATCCTTTACTAATCGTCACCTGCGCAGAACTCCTGGGGGGGGGAGATTTCTTCACTAGTACATAACAAAGATGTCCACATTCTGTGATTAAAAGACATCTTTGTCCCTTGGAGTGACCTTCGAGGCTGCAATTGAAATCATTAACAAAGGACAAAGGCACCTCATTGAAGGATTGCTCCTCTGGTCTGAAAGACGTACCACTGCATTCAGCAATCATATACCCTAGACAAAGAACCTTTAAGTGACCTTATCACATTACCAAAAACATTTTCAACTTCACAGTTTAAGATAGTACACTCAATAACTCAAGCTCTTTTATACTACAAAGCATAGCTTTACGACTGAACAAGCACATTTTTCTGAGCATAGTTTCTCAGAAATCAATACAGTTCCTTACGGGAAGCAATCTGGGATAAAAAAATTCCAAAACTATTTAGATTCACAAGAGCTTCCTTTTAATATATGCTACATAATCTCCATTTCAATGATTTGATTTAAGCAATGAACACTGCAGAAACAGCTTAGTCCATGGCTTCTGATGATCAGGAAATAATGGCAGAAGCTTGTATGAAGTTATGTAAATTTGCCACTGAAAATATAAGGACAAAAAATAATGTTGACTACCAGCCACCATATAATGGTAATGATATACAACTAAAGGCACTGGGATTAATATGGAATAATGATCCCTTGAAAACTGATCTGTCCAACATTTTAAGGAAGATAGTATCAGAACACAAAAAACATTGTGTGTTGGCAACACAAGGCATGTTTCTCAACACCTTACGTTTAAGTGTTTATAATCAGAATGAAATGTCTGTTACAGCCCCTTTGGGAAAACGTTATTGGTTGGGATAACATTTTACCTGATGATTTGCAATTGCAATGGATAGAGGATGAATGGAAATTAATAGCTAAAAGTATTCAGCATTAAAGACTTTAACCAGAAGTGTTTATATCCGATGAAATCCAAGTTAATTTAACAGCATATGGTTCAGAAGCTCCTCTTAAGATTAGATTCAGAATAGGATGGAATACAAGCTTCACTTTATCCAAGTCTCAGTTAGCTCCAATTAAATGTAGAGCTTAATTTGAAGTCATATGTCTTCAAAATTTGGGATCTATGATAGATGTCGGACTAACATCCATATTTATATTTCTTAGACCCAGTGACATATCTATATTTTCTCTTTAAAGGATTGATTCACCAATATGTACTGGATTAAAAGCCATGTTCAAGGGTTCAAGATAAGAAAAGATTTGTAGCCAACTGTGTTGCAGAAATCCAGCAAAAATCAAAGCAGCAATACTTTGATTTTTGTCCATGAAAAACAATTCAACAGATAAGATTACTCAAGGTGACACAGCATATTCTTTCCTAACACAGAGTCTGGTAGAATTCCTGAATCCTGTTGCATTCAGGAATCCACACACTGCAAGTTTCAGACATCAAATACTAGATGAGAATTAAAAGGGCATTGAAAAGGAAAGACGATTATATATTGTACAGGATGTCAATGAAGTTAGATTACACAGCAAACCGCTACTGAACTTGAATAAGTTTACCAGCCTATACAAGATAATTTGACTAAGAATGTGAATACAGATATTTCTTCACAATGCAAAACTCTGAAAAGATAACATTTCTGACATAGCAAGAAATTACCATACTGAAAGCTTTTTGATAACATACATTCAAAAAAATGGTTTCTAAAATAAATAAAAGTTACCAGCATTAAAGCAAAATAAAAAAAAAAAAAACTACCATATTGTGTATCCTTAGGAATTGTACATTCTACTGAAGTAGAAAAGGAACTAGAAACTGAGCCAGATACATTCATATTCTGCTCATCTGGTCTAGATGCTTGAATTGATTGACACTGTCCTACACCTTCCCTTCTTTCAAGTTTCAGATTAGCATTTCTGTAGAACAAAAAATATATTTTAAAACTAATGTAAATGCACTGATATTATTTCATTTAGCAATTTGATATGTTTTAAGGATTATAAACATGAAGTATTATCTGAAACAGAACATAAAAATACAAAAATATTTTGATACATGTTTTATATATTAAAAATCCCAATGCTTATCATAATATACTGCAGATATTTAAAGCTTTCACATTAAACAAAGTCTAACTGTAGTTTACAGAAAAAGTTAATAGTTATAATTACTGCAATTACCTTAATGAATCTTTATGCAATTTTCTACAATTTTATAAATACTAGATCTTCCTGCAAAAAACAAGTGAGTAAATTTTGAATATACTTCTTACTATTTTTCAATTTTTATTAAAAAAGATATGCAAATTTTGATATTAAAATAATTTTAATACTGCCCTTTTGTCTGAAGATGTGGATTAACTAAAATGTGAATTTCTCTCATATAAAGAAAGAGTAAAAGCATTTTATGTCAAAGAGGGTTTGTTATATTTTTTTGGAAAATGAAAAATGGTCATTTTACAAAACTATGAAGTCACTACTCAGCATCTGTAAAGACCTCCAAACAATGCCAATTCCAAATGATCACTCTCTAACCTAACAGCGTGCCATAATACAAGTATACCTACTGACACATTTAAACAGAAACCATGATCTCATTTAATATGTCCGGTAACATTACCAGAATTTAACTTATAAATTTACAACTTAGTATGTAACACAGTATTTATTTATATATGCACTAATTATTTGCATTACTATCTATCTACTTGCATCGTACAGAAATGACTGACACAACGAAACTATTACACGATGCAACAAGGAAAACAAATGAAATAGACACAAGGGGGTATGTACCTAGAATGCATAGATGGCACTAGCAGCATGAGAACTGCATAGGTCAGTGCCCGTCCCTTTTGCCGTCGTCGTTGAGAGCATGGAGAGCAATGATGGAAGGTAACTTTCGCAGTCAGTGTTGGACAGCGTGGTTCCTATGGAAGGAAGGGATACAGGGTAGTGAGATCCATCGTTGCACGGTGTTCGTGTGTGGGAACAAAGCAGCCTCAAGGTGTACCATATAACGTTGGTTTGCCAAATTCAGAAGCAGAGTGAAGACCACAGACAAAGGTGTCAGCACAGGAGGACCAGCAACATTGCATACAGCAGCAAATGCAGCAGCCATGTCGGATTTGATCATGGTAAACAGGCTCATAATGTTCAGTGAGATGCAGGAAGAGACAGGGCTTGCATGAGGAACATTGCAGGCGATTGTGCATGGTGATTTGGAGATGACAAAGGTGTGTGTAAAGCGGGTGCCTCATGCACTCACACCACAACAAAAGGCAAAGCACGTCGACATCTGCGAAGAAATTCGTGCACTACACTATGCCGATCCAATTGACTTCTTCGCCTACCTAGTAACAGGAGGCGAGTTGTGGTTTTTCAATGACACTCCCCCGCAAAAAAACAGCACAGCTCCATGGAGTGAAAGCACGCATCAAGCCCACATCCCAAGAAGCCTAGGCTGGCAATGAACATGCGGAAACAAATGGAAACATTCTTCTGGGCTGTCCAGGGCATCCTTCTCGTGGACTGGCTGGAAGCTCGGTGCGTCATCAACAGCAACTGGTACTGTGAGGTTGCTAGAATGCTGCAAAGGCACATTGAACAACACTGTAAATGCAAATGGTCGTGGCACATGCTGTTGCAGCACAACACACGTCCTCACACCAGGCAGAACACCCGCAACCCTCTCGAGGAATTGGGCTTTACTGTGTTGCCACGCCTTGCGTACTCACCCAATCAGGCCCCCCTCGGACTATGGCTTGTTTGACAACATGAAAGACGCATTCAGCGGCCAACATGTTGAATCTTCTGCCAAATTACGTGCAACTGTCCATAGGTAGTTCACCAACACACCATGGACTTTATCAAAGCCCTCTGAGACCTTCCAGCTGGATGGCAGAAGTGTATTGACTTAAGCGGGGATTATTTCCAAATGATGAACTATCCGTTTTTTTGTTAATAAAATGTATTCTGCTCCGTGGCAGCATTTCTGTATGACCTTAAATTATCTATCTATTAAAATAAATTATCTATCTATCTATGTTAGATATAGAGAGACAGATAATTTATTATTAAAAAAGATTTTTATACAGTCAAAAGTCATTAATTTGGACCTCAAAGCATGCTATGACGCATGTGCGTAAGACTTTAACGACTGCGAATATGCGTGTGCGCATGTGCATAATACGTTTACGCATGCACGTTTAATGCATAATGGACGGTATAAGCTAAGCTAAAATTATCTAATTCAGTTAATGTTGCAGATTGCGTTGTTCCTTAATCTTCAAACTGGATCTGGCTTATTATTTTTTGCAGACTGTTAGAGCAATTTTATAAAAGTAAGCTTGAACTTTCGATTATGTCAAATAGAATTTCTGATATATATTTACTAATATGTAAAGGATCTACAAAGCGAAAGTATGTTTCGAAGTCCATTAAACAAAAAGTGGAATTGCTGCAAAAAATGGATAAAGGCATATCTTTTGTTTCTCTAACCATTTCGAAATCTGTTTATCAATTTCACACTGCTCTGTGGGGGGGGGGCGACTTTTGACTGTCAAAAATCTTTAATCCGGACTCGTCAGGACTTCGACAATTCCGGATTATCAGTTTTTCTGGATTATAGATCTTCAGTTTAAATCTGGTAAGATGGCATGCAGAAATTATAAAATTAAAAATATGAAACCGTAATTTATGAAATAAAGAGCAATTATGATCTAAAGGGTATCAAAATTTACAAAAAAAAGCTTAATATTTATTTGTTTACTTTATTAAACATTTCTTTCAACGCGTGCATGCGTAAAGCATACATTACGCATAGTCGAAATTAGAAAACTGCAACCACAAAACTATTTGATCTCCGGAAGCTCCAGAACCGGAAATTCTTTTTGACATAATCGAAAGTTCAAGCTTACTTTTATAAAATTGCTCTAACAGTCTGGAAAAAATAATCAGCCGGATCCAATTGCCTATTGTAGTAAAAATATATGTAAAATAATGTAATAATATGTATAGACATAAAACAATGAACTCATAATATATAATAATTGACTCATATGATCATGTAGTAGTTATTAGCAGTTCCACTTTGCATCCTTGTTCTTTTTAAATGTTAATATTTGGTTATTGGTAACATTTAGCATACATTTTCTGCAAACATTAGCATGAAACCCTTCTTACAAAATTCATCATGATAATCATCATTAATCATAATTAGTACAGAAGCTGTTTGCAGATTTTTTTAACGAATTTGCTTTGATTAAAAAAACTGCTTGCTTTGAAGTTGTTTTAGTTGTAACTATATTTCTTAAAGTTATTAAGTAGCAGGATCTGTGAAACGAAAGACCGTTTCAATGTCAATCAAGCAAAAAATGAAATTGCTGAAAAAAAAAAAAAAAAGAATAAAAGAATATCCATGGCAAAATCATGAGAGGACTATGGCAATGTAAAAGCATCAGTATGCAGCACCAAAATACACTGCCAAAAAATATTCCATGCGACTGGATGAATGAAGTTAGTGGCTTGAGTGAAAATTTTCATGAAGTGGACTTTAAATCTGAATGCACATATTCAACAGTTCATTAAAAAAATTCAGAAATCCTTAGGGTATAAAGCAGAACAAAATTTGAATTGAAGTTTTAGCTGATAGTAAACAAGTTGAATAAGTTGTGCACGAATTCATTAACAAAATTTATTCCCAAAACAAATTTATAATGTTGACAACAAAACAGGTCTTTTCTGGCAATATATGTTCTGTAGTCCTTGATGACTTCTGCTGATAAAACTGCGACATAAAAGATCCAAACTGAGGCTATGGATATAGGCATGTGCAAATGCAGTAGGAACACAAAACTATAAATTTCTGCCAATTAAAAAAAAAGGCATGATCTTGGGTGTTTACAGGGGTAAAGATTTTCTGCATTATCTATCACTAAAATTATACTAGCATGGATGACATAAATATTAGAATTATTGGTTTGAGATCACTTCAAACTCAAAGCTAAACACTATTTAATAACAGTAGGTTTACCTAAAATAAAGCAAAAATCATCCTGACTATAGATAACAGTTCAGTTCCTGCACCACTTACTAAAAGATAACGTCTCCATCTTATTATTTCCTCCAAACTGTACAGTTATCATCTTGCTAAAGGCTAATGGACAGCAGATATAAATAGAATTTAACATACACTGAAAGGCAGACATAAAATACCCTTTCTAAAATTAATGCTAAGCTTTCTGAACATTCACTGGAGCAGCCAAGAATTTTTTTAAATACTGTCAAAACATAAAATAACCTGCTCTATGACAACAGTTTGCAAACTAACCTCCATTTTGCTGTTAAAATAATATATAATGATAATAATAAAGAAATCTCGCAGAAGAAAATCATATGAAAATTTTAAAAAAAATGTTTTTACTGATTAAGCTCTTGCGAAAGGTGACAAATAGTATCATTCTGTTCATTTATGCTGATTATCAGAAATATCAAATTTGCATTTAACGGCATTTTCCTGTACACATCTGTTATTAGTTCAAACAAGTACTCGCACATTGCTCTTCTTTAAATTACAAAAGACGGACATTATCACAACTGGAAAGAAGACCCATCTAAATTTCACCTAAGCAATGAATAATCAAACTGGAAGAGGAATGCATTAATGCAAAATATAAAATTAGGCAAAAATAAATAAATAAATAAAAATACAAACATAAAATCTGAAAGCTTTCAGATTTTACATTATGCCCAAAGTTTTTTTGTTTTTTTTTTTAACGTTTTGAATGTTACCTTTCTTTATTAGATATCATGTTCTTCACATTTAAACCATAAAATTCAGTTCAACAGCAATATCGCAAAATAATTTTGAAATGAGCATATCTTTAGAATTTCCGATAAACAGTCTCGTGTGCTGG